TCATGAGTAGACGCAAATAATATAGAATCAAGATTTTCAAGTAATATATTCAAATATTTTTCAAAAGCATGTGAGGCAAAAGAATGTAAAGCACCAGTATTAATCAAAACATATGCAATGTGATTGTAAATAATGTACGTACCCTGTATCACATCTGAGTTGCTTCAGCATCCTGCTTGGTATGAGTGTAGGCTTTGCCGTGGCATAGAGGTCTGGCCTGATTCTGATTTTGCGGGCAATCTCTCGCGTAGTGCTAGACACTTTCACATATGTGGCAAATATTGTTGAGGTGATAACAAGGTTGGTCTTCATGATCCTTGCTACAGTGCTGGCAAATCCTACCGTGTCCTGTTACCGAAGCCTGAGAAGGAGCTTGAGTCGGAGGTTTAAGTCTTTTATTCTGCTGAATTGGTGTAGTGGGTGCTGGCTTTGCAATGTGGAACCGGGGATTTGGAGTTGCCCATTGCTAGAGGAAAGATACAAATGTTCATCTCTATTAGCTGTGTCTTGGCCAGAACTATTGAGTAGGTGTTGAGCTCAATACATATAATTGTTGTCTGATCTCATAGTTGAAGCCCCACTCAAACTTACTTGTCTTTCTGTCTTCATCCATCATGCTCTCAAGAGAATACCAGCCTAATTCCAGGAACTTTTAAACATACTTAGACACTGTCATCTCACACTGGACCGTGTGTAAATTCCATTTCCTTCAAATGTCAAAAATGTTCTAGGAGGTACTCTACATTAAAGGCTACCAGGAACTTTTTCCAAGTGACTGAAATGGGCAAGGTTGCCTACTTCAACTGCCACCAGCAACCTGTCTCACCCACGAGCATATAGGTAGCAAGTACGATATTTTATTCGGAAACTACCCCAAGAGTCGCGAAGGCCTTCTTTATCTCTACTAACTAGTACTTCACATCTTCGAAAGAGGATGTCTCTGTAAATGTAGATGAGTTAAGCCTCTTATATCTCTTAATGTAATCTGGATCCATTACGGACAGAGTTGGGTCCCCTTGAAAAGGGGTTGAATTATGATGGGGATCGGGTGGGCCTGTGGAGGTACCTGGTTGTATAGTGGGGGGCCAGATTATGTTGTGGCGGTGCCGAATGATATGGTGGAAGAGCAGGGCTATGTTAGGGTGCCACTAGATCTTCTCGTTGCAGGGGTGGCTCATACTATGGCAGTGGTGGAGAGTCAGACAACTCCCTCCTCTATTCTCAGGCCTGCTGGGTGGAGATAAATCTTTTCAGCATCTCAAAAAGTCGATCGACATCGTCTCGAAGCGACCCATCCCGGGCTACTTAGTTTAGTGGGGGCCTTCCTCTCTTTATATCTTTGTACCTACAATACACAAGAAAGGGTTGAGTGTCGGGTTGTATTTGAATGATTCGAATCTTTATACAAAGAATAATTCCGAGGAACCTGGCTTTGATACTAATTGTAACGTCCCATAATTTATTGAATATGGAAGTATTGAATTAAGTGACTATAGGCGGAAGTAATTTTAGAATTTAGGGTTTACATTCCTTACACAGTAAATTAGGATACGCAATAAGGTTACGAGAATGTCCCTTTATACAAGTTCAAATAACGAAATAAATAATTGAAACAAACGTAATAAAACAAATCCTAAAGGGTTAACCTCCGCTGGACAACTCTGATGAGATTCCAGAGGTAACTTTTATTCACAACTCTTTTGTGGTTCAGGATCTGGATATTGATCTTCCTGATTTGAAATGGCTAAATAAGTGGAATAAACTATACTAGCTCACTAAAAATATCACACTTAATACCGATACAGAAAATCAAATGTTGGTAAAAATTATCAAACAACCAATGGAGCCCTTGTTTCCCTTTAAATAAATTCGTTTAACTTAAAAAGTGTTATTTCATACTTACCCTTATGAGTTTTTAAAACCAACCTATGAAAATAAGAACCCGAATAACATTTTAATTAAATATTTAAAATGAGTAATAACAATAAACTTACCCTCTTACCTATTTACCAGTATCTGTGAGGGTCCATAAGGATCCTCCCTAAACGTGGACCCAATATCCAATTTATCGATTAACTGATCGTCTTCATACCCCGTCTAGTAATGGGCGCCAAACATACCACCGTCTCAATATCTCGTCCAGTATGATGGTGAACTATACCTCCCAACCCCTTCTATTATAGGACTTCTCAGCCTCGTTCGACTGAAGCAATGTCCACGGTAAGGTTTTTCCTATGGATCAGGTTCATACACACTTCCCCATGTTACCGAATAAATCGTTCATATTTTTCCCACCATCAACCAATCACATACTAACGTATCATTTTTACCAATTAACAGTAAGTTATGCAAATAGCCAATACGTAAATTAAAAAAATATAATTAGGACAATTATTTCAATCAACAAATGAGAGAAATAGTTAAGCAATCAATAACAATAGGGCAAATAAATCTATAAATAAAAGTGCACGTGGTAAGCCAACAAATATATCTTAGCAATAGATAAACACTATAAATAAATAGATAATTTCGTACTGACTAGTTACCGGTTCCACTGGTGACCTGTAATTAATTTTTAGAATTTTATAATTTTTACAAAACACATCATTATTAATTATTAAACTTTAATTTACCGTAACAAGAAAAAGAGTGAGGGATTCTTATCCCGGATTAATGTTCGAAATACTGTACTTTTCACTGCACTTCCTAGCGGTTCTCGAGTTTCTTGGATTTTTTCTGCGAAAATAAAAAATACGCGTCACATATCATAAAATACCCCAAAAAAGCCAAAATAAATATTTTTGAACTTGTTCGGCCATTTAAGGTTCTAGCACGGCGGTGGCCGTGTTCTCCGGTGCCAGCTCCACTGCCCACGACGACGGTTCCTCTCAGTATGGTCGTTTTCTGCAAGTTTTGGCCAATTTTACATGGAAACATGTGAAAAATAATGTTAGGGAGCCTCTGTCAGTTGAAAAATGGGAAAATCAAGACCCTGCCGACGGAAGAAACTTCTGGTGCAGTGGCTCCACCATTCCTCCTTTGAGGTCGGGATTTTTCTTCAGCTAACCTACACCAGAAGGAAACGAGGAACGCGATGGTAAAAAAAATGAGAGAAACGAGAAACAGGAAGGAGCTCATCGGATGAGGTTTCGGATTTCGACTGCGGCAGCTCGACTGAGCTCCGCTTGTATTTTTTAGCTCACATGTCGGCCTTTCGACTTCGATATGAGCATGGAGAGGTTCAAGATTCAATTCTGAGCGAAAGAGAGAAAAGTCTTACCTTTTCAGCATCGGTGATGGCTCCGGTGCGGCGGAAACGATGGTCGGTCTCCTTATCCGACGTCTGGTTCATTTTCTGGCCGCCCCCTTCTTCTTCTCGAATCACTTTTCTGTCGGCTGGGTTTTGTTTCCCTACGAAGAGGAGTTTAGATACTCATCTTCATTAAATCTGGGTTGTCCGTTCGAGATGACATAGCTCATCCTCAGCCATTGGATCTCTCTTATTTGGAGAGTTAATCTGAACCGCACGATCTGATCAAATCTAGTCATTCGATCGCGCATGAAGAGGAAACATATTTGGGTCGTCCATGTGCGTGGGATGCGATCTAGGTCGTTGG